TTCACTGTCATCATCTTTGTTATACATTTGTACTTGATTTAACACTCTTATTTTTCTGTAATTGTTTCATGTCTTTCCTACATAAAATGACTATAAGACACCTCTTAGTAGAAAGTCTCTTACCAATTCCTCCCCAAGTCTTAACTCTCCATGATTTTTAAAGCTTTAGGGAGATCATATTGAGTTACTCAGGGCTGAATTAATAAATGCCTCCCAAAACAAGACTTTGGAATTAAGACTGCAATTAATACATCTTGCAAATATGGATTCTAATGCCATAAGCCTTTCTCTGGACTACAAATATTTTATGCTAGTTTGAATTGCATTCCAAGGAGCAATGAATGACTTGCAGGGTTAAGGAGAAATCCATTTCCTTGTGTAGTGGTTTAGTAAGATGACCCATATATTTTTCTAAACAAACAAACAAAAAAGCCTTAATTCTTGGGATCCCCTGTTACTCTCCACCAAACAAGAGAACATACTCAGCCAAAACAAACAAAAATCTTGCTGGGGTTTCAGTGACACTGACTTGGGAAGAAGCACATTCCTTCAGATAGGAGGGATATTTGGTAAGACAAGGCAGGCAGAGGTGGTGGTTGTAAAACATCTCTACAAATTCCTTGACAATTCCCCTGTGAAATTCCCTCTCCTGAAATATGTACTGACCTCGGCATCTGGTTTCTAGGGGACAGAATGTGGGGGCACTGCTGTGTGATTCCTAAGGCTAAATAGCTTCTGACTTTCACTCTGTAGGGACGCTCACCCTTAGAACCCAGCCATAACATTGTGAAGCCCAGGCCACCTAGTGAGCCTTTGTACACGCAGTTGTCCCAGCCTATGGCCCCAGCGAATGTCCTTAACCAAAGCCAGCTCCAGCTTCCAGACATGTGCATGAACAAGCCTTTAGATTATTCTAGGGCCCGCTTGATTCCAACTGGAGAAGAAATAAGCTGGCTCCACTGAGCCTTGTCTAAACGCAGGTTTGTGAACCAAACAAATGCTGTTTTGAGTCACTGGGTTTTGAGGTGGTTTATTATATAACTTATTAGCAATAAATAACTGGCACAGATATTGATATTAAAAATGGGGTGCAGCCATTAAAAAAGAACCAAAAAAGTGGGGATGCCTTTGAACCTGGAGGTAGGTGGAACCTGAACAGATGTAGAGAAGAGTAAGAATGAAAACCCAAAGTGTCCATGAGACTGTTAGTGGAAGCCTGGGGGCCTTTGAAGGGCTGAGGAGGAAGGCTTCTAGGCCAGGGAAGAAAATGACACTGAAACCGGAGGAAACGGGACGCTTGCTACCAAAGAGTTGAAAGTAAAATTGATGAGAGAGATAAGCTAAAACAAACAAACAAAAAGATTATTAAATACAAAGGAAGCAGGACCCAGTGGGTTCAAATAGTCTGTATCCCATTTAAAGAACTGCCACATGCCCAATGGTCACATAATAGGTAAACAGAGAAATGGCTTCTGGGCTAAGATCAAATCTAGGGTGCTGCCAGGAAAACACAGTCTAAAGATGAAGCCAAGACTTTGTTAAGACCTTGGAAAGATTTAAGGTGCTGCCTCAAATTCCTTTAAAGATCTTAACAACATAAGAATTTTAAAGGCATGGTCCCCCAATAGCTTCACAGGGAGCCCAAGATGAAGAGCTTATCTCAAAAAGACCTATGAGGGTAGCTTTTCCAATGGCATGAACCCAAATAAAATTCACAGGAAACTCAAAGTTTTAAAGAGAACTGTGCAAGCAAAATCACTGCCTGCTAGCTTGGACTGAAGGAGACCAAGACAGTGCAAAATGAGATGAGGTCTTTGGGTTTTTCTTAGAAGGTCTACAAGGAGGAAGCTGGCTTGAGAGAACTACTCAGCTGTAAACATAGGTCATTGCTCAGGAAAGGGACAGAACCAAGAGCTCAGAGAGGGCAGTGAAGGAGAATTCCTCCCAGGGTTAGGACTAAGTCCTAATCAAAGAGCCAGCAGCAAGCATCAGGCTGCATTTCAGAACTGCTACAGACCAGTGTGCCTCCCATCTTCCAAGTGTGAGTGAGAGAGTTTGTGTGGTGGTAAACACCCAGTCCCCTTATCCTCAAGCCTTAGCACTGAGAGGAGTGTACCCAAGGGGCTGTACTCTAGAAACCACACCCAGGAACCTCATCCCCATCTGGACCTGATGAAGATGGTAAAGTAAGACCCTGGACTGGAGCCTGAGCCTAACACCACAGCGACCGAGACCTGCTGGGGAACTGAGAAGGGTTAAGGGTGTTTCTCATATGGAAGCAGTAAGAAAACATTGTGGCTAGTGAGTTTTTGAATGGTTTATGCTGGTTTTTGAATGTCTCCATAAATTTTCAAAATTAATTCCATAAAAAAGGTGGAATATGGGTCAACCTTAAGTGACTTGCTCCTAATGAAGGCAATACAGTGAAGGTGGCACTGGGTGAACTGCAGGGCTAGGTTTGAAAAGGCATTTCAGCTTCTGCCTCCCTCTTAACCCTGGAACCCAGTCTTATGTTGTGGGCAAGCTCAGGCCGCTGAGCCAGCTTAGGTGTTCCAGGGGAGGGGGCCCAACTGCCTGCCCCAGCAAAGCTGCAGCCAACTGCCAACATCAACTGTCAGACATCAGTGGATGAACCTTCAAGTGCTGCCAGCCCCCCGCCTTTGAGCTGCCCCACCTGAAGCTGAGAGGAAGAGAGGCCAGCTGTCTTGGCCACACTTTTCCTAAGTGCAGATTGTGAACAAAATAAATGCTTGTTTAAGCCACTGAACTTTGGGGAGTTTGTTAGGCAAAAACACATAAACGGAAAAAAGGATGACAAAAGATAATAAGAAATGTAACTTGTATACAGTAGAAATTGGTCTCCTATAAACTGTAATGTAATAAACGTTGAGATTAACTTAAAGACAATGTGCTGATGAGAAGAAGCAGATAAAGAAAGACCTAAGAACTAGAGAGAAGGAAGATTTTTTAGAGTTCCCTTCAATTACAAAATCTTATAAATAGGCATGTATGCCTCTTTACAACTTCCCCTCAACTTTGAGGATAAGGAAGCCTGGTAGGCAAGGAGACATAGGATTTGAAGACTAATAATTGAAAAACAACTAGAAATAGTCAGTTTACTGAAATCAGCCTCTTTACCTCATTTCAATTAACTGAAACTCTAAGAGACAGGCAGCTTTGAGAACTTACTAATCTAGCATTCACTCTTCATTTTCCTTTCCTCAGAGAGAAACTAAAATATCATGGAACCATTTTTAATCTTCTCAGTAGTAAAACAAATGCAGTGTCCTTTGGCGGTATTTAAATTAAATACAA